TGCTTAGTGGAGGATTTTATGTAGGTCAGGTGTTCAGTTCTTGTCGAGTTGTTTATAATGGAGTATGAAGCTGATGGGGGTTTGGAATGGCTAAGAGTGGTGTCAGAAGTCAGTTGAAATGGCTAGGTGTTCCAACTTTTATGCCACTGCAACTGATCGTAGGAGTAATAGAAGAACGACGAATATATAATCGGATGTATTACCGTAGCTAAATGCACTGAAGGCGAAAAATAGATATCAAAAGATACATTCGCTAGACTCAGACGTGTCAAATGTAACCCTAATTCATTGAGTTAAACCTGTTCAATATATGGAAATTTGACAAAGACAAAGAAAGAAAACTGACACGAGTAAGTGATGATTGTTGTTGATGTTCGTAGTAAATTTGTAGTAATGGTAAAAATATTCTTCTGTAGTTGAGTGTTTGTTCCAGTTGGACTCATAAATGGGAGTTATAGATGCTTTTTCGCGGAGTTGCCTATTTCTGGATGGAATGGCGAGTGGTCTCGTGGTAGTGAAGTTGATGGGCAGAAGTATGTAGATGAGGATGCCTGGAAAGTGGGATTGACTTAGGGCACACTAAGATTGCTGTTTGACGTTCTATATTTTTGACTTTTGTGTATGCTTCGTGGCGCATTTGATATGTTGTGTATGGTTGTGATGTTGTTCGATTGAAGTGGCCGTATTGCTTATTGTATTGCGTCATCGGTTCTTTCTTCTTATTGCATACTGTATTGCTAATATACAATTAAGGTTTTTTATGCCTCTCCAAAAAGAGTAGGAAAAATTCAGTATTTTGTTTTCGAAAGTTACTAAATATATCTGCGCAAAACATTCGAATTGTTTCTTCGTGTGTAAAAAATTGTTAGATCAATTTGTGCCATATTGCGGACACGAAAAAATACCTGTTCTCCACAGTCGAGGGTTAAGTGAGTCGGCACGGCGAGCGCTACTTGTCTTATAACAATAAATATTCTAAAGGTAAGATACTGAAAAGTAATCTAAAGACAAATATTTCATAGCAAAAATCGTCAAGAGATGACGAATAAAATAGAAAAACAAATTTCCAATCATTATCAGGTACTTGCGTTGGTTGAAAAAATTGATTTTGATAACAAATAAGAAATGTTTTCTCATTTTAATTATTTATTCAAAAGAGTAAAGTCTAAAATGATGAGTCGTTAGTCGATTCATTTTATTTGAAATATTCAATTTAATCTATCGAAAAATCAAAGTTCGTCAGTAAGAAAAACTATCACAACAACAAAAGCTTTTATTTTAATTCATTTGATTAATCAAGATTATATCGTGTAGTATAATGATAATCGATTATCAAGCAATGAAAACAAATCATTTTCTTCGTCTCATTACATCTGAAAAGCTTCTCCTTAATTCTCAATAGCAAGTTGAATATGAACAAGTAACATTCGTCACTGTGACTCATTTGATCCTTGACTGTATGGAATAAAGAAATAGTTTTCTGTCTCAATGATAAAACAAACTATCCTAGTATCTTTTTACACGTAAGTAAAGTTGGCACGATATTCGAGTTATTTTTGCCAATAATCATTTGAGTATCTGTGCTGGATGCAGAATTAAATTCTCTATCGAATGATGTAAGTCTCGAAGGGTTTCATCGCAGGCGAGGATCTGAGTGTGGGTGAGAGTGTAGGTGTGTGGGTGTGATAATTTTTTGTCTCGATAACCCATGTCTAAAACTACATCATTCGATAGAGAATTTAATTCTGTATCCAACACAACCATTTAAAACACCAGCACAGATACTGAGATGAATATTGGCAAAAATAACTCGAATATCGTGCTAACTTTACTTACGTCTTTTTACGAAGAAACGAATCAAGTTTTGTCCACGTTTAAGTTCTAACTTTCGAAATGAAATACAACTCAATGACTCCTGTGTATTTATCAAAGACGCCGCATGAAGATCCATGAGTATCCTCATTATATCGAATTTGAAGACTCATGGATACCTTAGAAACGCGTCGGAAAGTGGCGGATCCAGCTGTTTGGCGAATCGGCGACTGGCAATCTCTCACGAAGTTATTTCTCTTTTTTTTCTAATCAGAATTAAAGAAAATAGATCATAACCCTTTGAAAACCACTTTTTTGACCGAAATCGGTACGTCTCATGGGAATCCATTAGACATGCACTGAACCCGAACGTTCAAGATCGGTGGGTTCGTCAATACAGTTCGGTTGAAGTTGATAGTTTAGGAACGCATAAAATTCATTGACTCGTTGTTATGGACTTATTGGCAATCTTATATCAAGCAAAAATATGTTATACAGCACCCGACAAAAGTATCTTCTTCCTTGGATGGTAGCCTTTAGATGCACTGTACATCTAAAAATTCATGTACATGTACTGGGTTGTGCATAACCTTTTGCTAGGGGGGTAACACTATGATTTCAAACTGGATATCCAATGAATTTTATACCAGATTAAAGCCCGTGAAAAGCTGGATCTAGGAGTATAATCACCATCTCGATATATAAGACTATCGTCTAAAACTGCGAATGTAAAAGAAAATCCGCGCACATACTTAATCGTCAAAACATAGGATTGGGCATAACTTTTTGATAGAAGACTACAATACTAATTAGTAATGGAACAGTTTTCAGTAATGTCTCTGTTGGAATCTTTATTTTCTTTGAAAACAAATAATAATGAAAAGAAAGATAAGACAGAATGAGAAAAAATGTGCGGAATTTTAACGATTGAGTACGTGTACGGATTTTCTTTTACGTTCGCAGTTTTAGACGATAGTCTTATATATCGAGATGGTGATTATACTCCTAGATCCAGCTTTTCACGGGCTTTAATCTGGTATAAAATACACTGGATACCCAGCTTGAACTCATAGTGTTACCCCCCTAGCAAAAGGTCATGCACAACCCGGTATTTCGCAACGTAATGCTGATCAACAGTGCTACTCGCACTTCGATTGCATCATTTTGAAATAATTTAGAAAAAAAGAAAGAAGAAAATCTCAATGAAATTGTATTGAAATGAAAGAACTCAGTCGAAAAATGAATTTAATGATTTGAAAATCAATTCGTTTTGTTATTTAAATAAAATTTTAGAAATTACAGAAAAATTTTCTAAAAACAATAAAATAAAAGAAAAAGTGTGACCCATGTAAAAAAGACACGCGAAATAATCTGATTTTAATCGATTTTTTTTTCAGAAGAGAAATCGATTAAAATGGCACGATTTTCATCCGATTTTGAATCAACAAAAAATCCATTATTTTGGAATAATTCACAGAAATCGGATATTAGCGATTTTTCAAAAATAATGGATTTTTTATTGATCAAAAATCTGATGAAAATCGTGCCATTTTAATCGATTTTTCATCAGAAAAAATCAATTAAATTCAAAAAATCGCTTTTAAATGACTTTTTAATTTTGATCTGATTTAAGTTGATTTGTGTTGAAAAATGAATTTTAATCAATGTTTTTGTATCGATAAGTAAGTATCGAACTATCACACCTATATCTACTTAGGGTATACCAAAAGTAGTGAGTCAGATACTTTTTTTCTCAATAGATAGAGCATGTTTCACTCTATTTTTCTATGTTATTTGATATAATTGTAATAAAATTTCAATACGATGGGTTTGTATCGAGTATGTGCTGGTAGCATGAGCATCCGTGAGTATTTTTTGAATAACTTTTGATATGCATAAGATAGATGACTACGCTTTTCACCGGTGCAAAGAGGAGACGCCGACGCATCGAATCGTATACTACTGATTTTTCTAATGTGATTTTTAACATCTTTTTTATTCAAATGCGCAATCGTCGAAAAAAATGCTTTTTTATGAAAGGCAGAAAAAGCAAAAAAGTTGAGAGAAAATCGTAGTGGAGGCTAGTTGTGACGAAATATGAGAGTGATTGTCTATGTCCTTCGACATGATGGTGTGTTGTGTCATCTATACACTCATAATCGTGTCGTTTCTTTATTGAACACAACTTATATAGGAAATATTGCGCATAACATAACAAAGAAAAGGCAAGGTCAATATCTATGCGCAGGTCGCATAGGTGAACTATAGATATACACTGACCGTTACAGTGTAATANACACTCATAATCGTGTCGTTTCTTTATTGAACACAACTTATATAGGAAATATTGCGCATAACATAACAAAGAAAAGGCAAGGTCAATATCTATGCGCAGGTCGCATAGGTGAACTATAGATATACACTGACCGTTACACTAGTCTAGAATGAATGTTTTTCCGAAATAATTCAAGATAAAGATCTGAGTCTTTCGCAGCCTGTCGATCTTTGATTAGCGGCCTGAATGTGAACAACTCATGGAATGGGTTGGTGCCTTAAAAAGTCAGCTGAACGCCTCATAAAAAACAGGTCACACAAACCAATAGTATGCTGTTCGATGCGTTTTTATCTCTTCTTTATAATGGTGAAAACCGCAGTTCTCTCTCTTATGCCTATCAAAAGTTATTCAAGAAACAATCGTGCGCATTCATGTTTATCCTACGAGTAAATACTCAACACAAACACATCGTATTGAAATTTTATATAAACAGTTATCAAATAACATAGAAAAATAGAGTGAAACACGCTCTATCTATTACGATAAAAAAAGAAAGTTTTTTATACTTTTGCTTAAGGAAAAAAAGCACCTGGCTCACTACTTTTGGTATGCCTTAAGTAAATAAAAGCAATTCATATATTTATTAGATTTCATTAACAAAATATTGTCAAATTAAGTTTATATTAATGAAGAAGATAATTCGATATAAAAATGCAACGATTTCTATTTCTCTTGTTTATTTATTTATTAAATCAAAGATTCTAGTATACAAATATTATCGTTTAAGGAAAATGTCGTTGTTACTCTATTGATGGTAAAGCAGTATCACAGATATCATTTAATATATTTTGATCTTTAGTAATAGGTGAAACACGATATTCCATAGATGAAATTAATTTAGGTTTATCTTGTTGTTCATCTATGGATATATATTTTACTTTTCGATAAATAGATTGAGTGATTGATGGATCTATAAGAGTTTGTTGATCTTCATTAATAATTTTAAGATTAATTGGTATTATTGATGATTGAAGAAGATCACGATTTATTTTAATATTTGGTTTACGACCATCTAATAATCCAGTTGATTTCGATCGTAAAATGAGATCAGCAATTCTATTAAAATCTGATGAATCTGATTCGTATGTAATTCCTGAACGAATTTCATATAAACAATCTGCAATAAAAGCTGGTTGTCGTACATAACATCGTGACCATATTCGATAAAAACATATTTGTTTAAGTGTTTTATTTTTATCAAATAATAAAGTATAATATTCAGATGAATTGGAATTTAAATAACAATTAAATTCATAATCATATTTTGTTTTTATAGTTGTTGATATTGATATCTAAAAGAATTCATTCAAGAAAAAAGGAGATTTATTTTCCAAGTTACCTTTCGAGTATTCAAATGATCAATTTCAGCATTATTAAAACGAATGAATTGATCCGATTTTTCTTTGATAATTTCTTGTAATTTACCAAGTTTTTGTGGCATTGGATTTTGTTCAATAAAATATATCTGACCATAACAAACTAATAAACTAAGTGATCCATGTAACATTTCATTGTATGAAGATGATTTTTTCTTGAAAATATCTTGTTTTTCTAAGTATGATACTATTTTATCCACCACTTGTTCTCTATCGATGGTATTTGTAGTTTCTTTATTGAGATGAACTGTACACATCGTGTTTGTAGCAGAAGGAGAAAATTGTATAATACTAACAGTGGAAGTTTTTACATCAACACCCATAAGAAAATCAGGTTGATAAGGGTCATTAACTATCGATGTTGCGGATGAAGCCAGAGACGACGATGTCGACGCTGGAGGATCTGAATTAATCAGTACAATCGGATTGTTTTCTCTACGAAATACAATCAATTGTAAATATGACACTTGAAAATAAACATTAATCATACTCGATGGGTTTTTTTGGTTTTGGATTGCGTGGAATCTTTGGTTTCACCGATGGTTCTGGTAGACTTGGTTTATCTTCCGATGATTGAAGTGTAACTTTGCCAGACTTTTTTCTGAAAGATATTCTCAATGAAAAATGATGAAGAAAATCTCAGATTAGAAATCTTACGGTACTGTTGATGGTATAATATCTGGTAATTCAGGAGTATCCGATCCTTTTGCTGCTTTTTTCGTGATTTTCTTTCCATCAAGCCAATTTTTAAACTCTTCATCTAGACTTTGTGATACTGCTGTACCTTTTATAGGTTTGATTTCTTGTGGAAATGCATTGACAACTGGTCTTTCTTGCCATTCATAATATTTCTTTTCAGCTATTAAGAAAAGTTTTTCTAAAATACTACTGGAATTATACGATGGTTCACCAAATTTTCTCATAAACTTTGGCCAACTCGTACAATATTGTGCTTGATATGGTCGAAGTTCTTTTTTATCAACAAATCTTCCTGTTTTTGGTGAATCAACAGCGAGTGAAAATAAATCCGCTAATTCTCGGCAAGGTTCACCAAATGAATGTTTATCATGTCGATCAGCTACAACAGTATGTGTATTTGCAATCATACCTAAAATAATCCCAGCACCAAATGATTCAACAATATGATTAACAATAATTTCTTGATCAATTTTTTCAACTTCAACTTTCTTCGCTCCTTCATAAGATAATGGTGGAACATCTCGTTCAATTTTGAAATCATCACCCCAATAAACCCAATATTGATCACCATCTAGATCAGATCCAGCAATTTCATTGGAATGTGGACGAGAACCATTTATTGGAAATACAATAACATCACGCATACATTTTTCTAATCGAGGATTTCGAACAGCTTGTAATCGACGGAAATCACCAGGCCATAAACATGGATTTTTAGTTACAAGTACCGTACCTTTCAAAGAATATATCATTTATTATTATTTGAAAAAGAAAAGTCAATTTTACCTTGAAGAACATGAAATTTTTCTTGATTAGTTGTTTTTTTTGTTGAATCCAATAAAGAATATTGTATAAAACATTGACCAGATTTTAATTCACCAGTTTCATCAGCAATTCCAAATAAATTTCGACCATCTGTCGGTGGAATTGGTATACGATTGGTAATTAAATTATCTCGTCTAGAATATATATAAAAGAATTCATTTTCTTTTCTATAGAAAAATGAATTATTTACGATAATGAATAAGAAGCATTCTTTTGTACAGCAATATCAATCGCTGTTGGTTGTTGATCTTCAGGTACTTCCCATTGAGTAAGTCCTCGATTTTGAAAACTAATAAAAACATCATCTGGATTTCCTAAATCACTTAGAAGACGAATAACTTGATTATTTAATGTTAATGTCACTAAAACAATAGAAATATTAAATAAATCTATATGTACTCATAAATTACTTGGTCGAGCAAATTCACATATTTCTAAATTCCAATCATCACTTTCAAATTTCATCATGGATTCCCGTACAGATATATAATAATCATTTAAATTTGAATCTGGATCAATAGCAACCATACCTTTACAACCCGCAACACGGATTTGAAATGCTGATGGAATATCTTCCTAAATATTAAATATTAACAAATGTGGAATGACTCCTTTCGACAAACTTTGCTATATAATGGAATATTCATTTTCTGAGCTACACGTCCAGCTAAACCCCATGAGATTTTTCCAATACCATCTGTAAAATTATATCCATTTCTTTTTACATCTGGATCGTCATAAACATAATACAAATTACTATCATTAGGTATATCATTTTTAGTTTTCACTTTAGTTAAATTAATCTACAAAATACATTGTACAGAAGATCTTTTATCAATAGAAATCACATCACTTACACCAATATGCCATGTCGTAGAAAAATATTGACCAATTCGAGCAATATATGTAGCAATATTTTTAATTTTATCAAATCTTCCAAGTATATTATATGCTGTTTGTATATCTTTTATATTTGAAGGTAAATCAATAAACCAAAAGCCCATTTCTTTCATTTGACTTGTACTTGAACCCATATATTTATATGTTTTTTTAAATAAATCAATTCCTTTAAGCATAGAATTTTTTAATCGAATTTTAATACTTGTATTACTAACACGTAATTGTCGATTATCTTCATCACGAAAATGAACAAGAAGAAATCGTTCAACACCACCAAATCTACATAGAATTATTTACAATATATATATAAATATTCTTTAATTAATTTACTGTGGATTTCTTAGAGTTCGATTACCAGTTGTTATTTCAAATGGTTGAAATATAAGTTTCAATGGTGTTAATGTACAACAAGCAACTTTAAGTCGTTCTTGATCTTGAACTAATATTGGATGTTTAACATTTGTTTTTCTTCTTTTTTCTTCATAATCTTTTTCTGTTCGTCTTAAATCAAATCCATGATCAGCACGTAATTGTTCAACAGCATAACAACATAAATTATAACGATCTTCACTTTTCCATTGATTCCAATTTAATTCATCATTTGTAAATAATGCCCATTTATCTCGAAAGACATATCCAAGTGAAATTAACATTTCAAGAGCATAACGATCTTGAAATGATGCATTTCTATAATTAAATGGATCTGGTCGATGATTTTTATTATTTTCTCTTGACCAATCTGTTATTTTAAATGTTGAAAAATTCATATGATATCGTTCAGGTCGATCAAATAAAAAATAATGAAGAAATTTCCAAGTATTTTCTTTGGGTGATACAATATTAAAAACTACATCTGAACAATGTGCAACATCTTTGATAAAATCAACATTTGGTTGATCAGCACAAACTCTAAAACATATTAATAAACAAAAGGAAAGTTAAATACGGTGTGTTGTTTCCTTCAATGTAGTGCAGTATAAGAAAATGCAAGATAGAAGTGTCACGAATTTAGTTAGCTTTTGCTCACAAACTTATGAGTAGGTTTAGACTTAATCTTAAAATCTATCAAAATGTTTGCAAGACATCTCCGAATTTCTGAAAAAAATTCATAATAATGCTTGAATATATTTGGAAATACCATACAGAATTTCATATAATACATTGTTGTCTTAACTAATCAAAAACATAGAAAAGAATCTATGGCCTTTTATATTTCAAATTGAATTTTGACGAAAAAAACGATCATTGCGTATATATTCAGTAGCAAGACTAATCGGACTAACAAATCAACACACTTCTAATCAATATATAGAAAATAATGAATTTCTTACGATTCAAATATATCAGATGGATTTAATTGAGAAATAACGTAATAAAAGTTAGCAGCGGATTCGAGTATTTCCTGCTGATATTCGCTCGTGGACTTGTGATGAGTCTATACTTGGTAGTGATGGATGCAGAATTCAATTCTCTATCGAATGGTGTAGTGTTCAACAGAGGTTGTCGGAGGAAAAGGAGCGCGAGCAAAAGGGTCAACCCAAATCTCGGTATTTGGGCCAGCCTCTCTCCTCCCTTTTTTCCTCCGACAACCCCTGTTGAATACTACACCATCCGATAGAGAATTAAATTCTGCATCCATCACAACCAATTATAGACTCATCACAAGTCCACGGGCGAATATCATCAAAGATTACTGATTGGAGAGTACCCCCAAATACCAGTATTTCGGCCGAAAACCCTAATTTTATCTCGATAACCCCTAATGAAAAGTATACCATACAATGCAGAGTTTAATTCTACATCCATCACAAGTCCACGAGCGAATATCAGCAGGAAATACTCGAATCCGCTGCTAACTTTTATTACGTTGAGAAATAAGACAATCTTCTTACCGAACGGGTTTTTTCTCATTGTCTTTGATTGTTACCATTCGAAAAACACTTGGTCCATATTTCAATGGAAGTAATACATACATACCATTATCTTTATTGATCAAAATATTCTTTTTTTGAATAGCTAAGAATGGTATAACTATCCGTATATCATCAAATTCAATATATAATGTATTAGATATTGGTCGAGCAGGTTTAAATGAAACATTAACAACTTTATTATTGAATGTAACATGAGAATAAAATTGATTATAAGATTGAAGTGCACCAAAAAGACAAGTTGCAGAAAATGTTGCTCCTTGATGAGGAGCTACAGTTGATGGATCTGCTAATGTTTGTTGAAGAAGTGAATCCAATGGCTTATCAAAAATATGAAACCAAATAGGAGAATTTTCATTTGGTAAAACCTGTGCTAACAAATCACGAACTTTATTTACTTCTTCACGTTTTAATGCAAATTGAATTGTACTATTTCCATCTTCACCCGATTCTCGTATACCTTTCTTATCAAATACTTTAGGTTTGACAAAACTATTATAGAAAAAGGAAATTTATTAAAAAAACCCACTAATCATACAATACATACGTTTCAATATTGGCAGCAAGTCGTTCACCATCTTTCTTCGATGGTATGTGTTTAAATTGACAATGTATTAATCCACTCATATCTTTGTGAAATACAAGTTTTCAAAAACTATATCTAAAAAACAAAAACAAAAACTTGGTGCGTACATGATACCATCTCGAAATTTTTCTACTAAAATCAAAGAAAGAATATGTAACACATGCATGTGGTGGTTTTTTTTCTTTTTGTTCTTTATGGTGAAACTCTTCTTTACCACATTAATCAAAATATAGAAGAAAAAATTGTGTCAACATACTGCATATTTAATCTTGGAAAAAACCCATGCCGCACAATTCCTGCTCATACATAATTGCATAACTGGGAAAAAACGTTTGAAATTACATTACTCCGGTTTCATAGATTATGACGAAGCAATCTCAATGGTAATGTTGTTTATTTGAAATCGAAAGAGTATATAGTGATAACAACAATAAAAAGGCAAGTCAAATACAAAGATGTCAGTCTACGTCATTGAAAAAGAACAAAAGCACATCGTGAGAGAATCTCATACTCACTTTGGTCTTCATTCTTAACAAAGGATTTCTCATTTATTTAAATCTAGTTTATTAAAAAACAGATTTAATCAAAAAAATGTTATTATAGCATTCAAATAATTAGGAAGATCTCCATGATTCAAATAGTCCAGGAGGTCCGAAATGTAGTGATTGTCGTTTTTGTCTTTCACCATGTATCGTTTCAATTTCATTCATTGGTGCACTTAAACAGTAGATGATTTGTAAGATCATTACCATCATTAATACCATGAAGAAACGATTTGTAATCATCATATCAATTTCGTTTGCAACGTGTGTGTGTGTGTATGTGTGTTGAAAAATATGATTAACTGCGTTATTGTTTCCCTATTTATACAATCCTTATTTTGGGGTGATGCTTCTAGGGGAGAGCCCATATAAAAAAAGGAAGTAAAAAATTGATTAAAATGCTACGATTTTCATCTGGTGTTAATCTGAATTATCAGCGTTTTCGCTTAAATGACGGAGTATCGAGATATACCGTAGCGACTACTATGTGAGGGGTAGCACAGGCTGCTCTACTGTTGACTCACTATTTATCGTGGCGAGGATTCCGAAAAAACAGGTCGAGAACTAGGTATTTGTGAAAAACGTGTTTTTGCTTTTTTGTGATTAAAATCGATTAAATTTTGGAAAGTCAGTTGAAATCTATTAATGCTGACAGTTTAATTGATGAAAACTAACTTTTAATTAAAAATATCTTGAGGGTGGGTGTGAGGGGTGAGGGTGTGAGTTTAAGAAAGAAGAAATATTCCTAAGCTATCTGTAACGATAATGATATCGTTCATCTCTTTCTGTTCTTTATCCTCTCACCTCTATATCATACTATCTCCGGGTCATATCTCTCTTTCCTCTTCTCTATATAAGCGCGTGTCTTATTGTGAAAGAGATACATTCTGGTCATGTAGAGTAGTCAATAAACATCGATACCGTGAGAAGCGGTCAGCTACTCAACCAGTTTGTCATTACACTATCTATGACGCGTTTCGTCCTTGCTTAAGGGACTCATCAGATAGAATTTATATAAGGAATATAGCTGCCAAGAATGATATGAAAAACTCAAATCAATCACAAGAATCATTATAAGAGTAAAGATTACTCCCAACAGTTCATCATTGTGCTGTCGAGTTAGTTACCATCTTAGGTCACTTCTCCTTACGACGTGGTAGCGATCAGTCGCATATATTTCGTTCGATAAGATTAAAAACAGACTATACATCCTCTGCACTTTTTCTCTCAATCTCTCTCCAACCTCGAACTTCGGCCCAAATCGAAGACTTCAGAATCTCTCGTTCCCGAATATTATCTGGTACAAATCGTCCCAAGCGCCGGATCTTCAATAAAGGTAAGTCGCTCGACTGTAGAAATGCCTGCAAAAGCAGGAGGTGGTACTGGCGCAAGCCGGTCGAGAAGAAACATAAGCGCCGACAACAAAGCACAACAGTCCGCCACGACACAACAAAATGGTCACGTTGGCAGAAGCTCAATAGCGAAAACAACAAGCCAACCAAAATTCAACATTGCACCTCTGATTTTAGAGGGAGTTAAAATCAACAAAATTCAATTGAATGACATCCTGAAACAACACTTAAGCGATGTTAGAATAAAAGATATCCAACTGAGCCGTACAGGAATCTTTACACTATACTCGGCTGACGTAAAATCATTCAACCGGCTGTTAAATGAATTAACAGCAATCTTGGAAAGCAATGGTCAAGCATCAGTCAAAGTATACGTTCCTCGTTCGATTCAGAGAATAACTGACACCGAAAAAGTGGCTTTTATCAAAAGAGTCGACCTTGAATTGCCGACTGAAAGAATAGCCGAAGCATTAAAAACCGTTGGTCTAGATGTAACGAATGTTATTCGTTTAGCAGGCAAAGATGGAAAGACTCCAACTAGAACGGTGAAGGTAACATTCAGCGATGTACAAAATCGAAACACGTTTGTACATACTGGACTGCAAGTGGATTGCATGCACTTCACAGCAGAGCCAGCAGTACAAAACTCAAAGCCGGTGCAATGTTATATTTGCTTAAAATACAATCATGTAGCGAAGTACTGCAGAACAAAACAGC